ATCCCTGTTTTGTTCCAGATTTTAGAGGGAATGCCTTCAACTTTTGTCCATTCAGAATGATGCTAGCCTGAGGCTTAGCATAGATAGCTTTTACAATGTCAAGGTACGTTCCTGTTATCCCTAGTTTTTCAAGTGTTTTGAACCCTTTATATTTTTTTTGAGATAAGGTCTCACTAAATTGCCCAGGCTGAACTCAAACTAAACTTTTGATCTTTGAGATCCTCCTGCCTCAGCCTCCTAAATTGCTGAGATTATAAGTATGCAACAGTACCTAGCCTGATCCTATTATTCTTATATTTACCTTTTACTTGGCAGGCATTTGGATGGATATTCTCAGTCATCAGTTTTGTGAAACACAAAAAGAGCGATGGACTTCTGCTTCTGTGATTAAAAATACCATAATTAGGCCTGAGGTTGTGACTCAGCTGTAGAGCATTTGCCTAGCATGTGCATAGTCCTTGGTTTGATCCTTAGCACCACATAAAAAATAAATAAATAAAATAAAGGTATTGTGTCCAACTACAACTAAAAAATAAATATTAAAAAAATACCATAATTACTCCTTGCCCCAGACGCTAGAACTTAATTCTTTTCTGGATTGTGGGAAAGATTTAATACTTCTAAAAAATACAGTATAAATAGAAAGGAGAGAAGGGGAAATGCAAGTTTCAGTGGAAAAACTTGCCTGATGCCATTTAATCTGTGAGCCAGGTTAGCATCACTAGTAACAAGACACACCAACATCACACACTGCCTGTATGACATGATAGGAAGGGCAGTTCACTGCCACAGTGTTCTTCACCCAAATCCACTCTGCAGTGTAATCAAGAGAAGATATCAGATGCCAACCAAAACCATGGGACATTTTACCAAATAACTGACCAGCATTTCTTAAAATGTAAAGGTTATGAAAGACAAAGAGTCCAAGAAAGTGTCATAGATTTCTATAGAAGAGTCTGAGAAGACATGACAACAAAATGAACTGTGGGATCTAGGATTAGATCCTGGAACAGAAACAATAGAGGGGAAAAACTGGGGAAATCCTACTAGTATCTAGGGTCACTTGACCACCGAGCCACATCCTAGCCTTATGTTGTATTTTATTTAGAGACACAGTCTCACTGAGTTGCTCGGTGCCTCACCATTGCTGAGGCTGGCTTTGAACTCGAGATCTTCCTGCCTCAGCCTCCACAGCCACTGGGATTACAGCTGTGCACCATCGCACCCAGTGATTCCTTACTTTTGATAAATGCATCATAACTACATAAGAGTCACCAGTAGGGGAATTTGAGTGAAGGATACACGGGAGCTCTACACACTACTCAACAACTCTGAAAACCTAAAATTATTTTTTAAGATAAAAAGTTAAAATATATATATATTAGTATCACTTTTGCTCTAAGACAGACAGGAAATTATGACCTAAGAAGTAAGAGTTAGTTGTGATTATTTCTGAATAGAATTCCAAGAGCTATTTGCAATATTAAACAACTCAGCTATGAAGGGTTTTCAAAGTCTAATCTAATATGTTATGGCTTTGTGGGTGATATTTGTGGAAAAATTTTGGTCCTAGTCCTGCATTTCAAAAATATGTAAAAACACTGATTAACAGAGACAAGAGGACAGCACTATAATTACAGCACAGGTGGGCTCCGAGTCAGCCCCTCACAGGGATCCAAGAGTGGTACTTACTGAAAGTCTTTGTGATAAATGTGGTAAGCCAAGCGCAGCAGATAGTTCAAGAATGTTCTCAAAAGTATTGTTCTAAATGGAGAATGAATTTCTTCAACTGGTATATCACTGTTGGCTAAAATTTAAAAATTGGAAAGGATGTGTAACATATTCTAGAACCTTGAGCATTGAGAGCACTGAGATCAAGGACATAGGTTAATTTCTGGAACTCCTTTCCCGACTTTTTCCTTCCCTACTCTCTCAACATTTCTGAACTCGTTTGCAAGTGGCAGTGTGATACACTGTCCTCTAAACCCAAAGAAGTAAAGGATACTCACCACTTAATATCCTGTCCATATCAGCAAGAGTTATATTGTGGTGATGAAATTTGCAATCTTTTAGAAATCTCCAGAAGTGAAGCTTTGTCATCAGAAATGTATTATCCAGAGAGTGATCACATCCTAGGCTACTGTAGAAGCTATAGATTCTTCTTAATTCTGTAATGTTTCTTAAGACAGCGAATTCTACCTGAAAAAAGTCAGCCATGTATCTTAATCCTGCTTCATAGGAGGAACAGTAAAAGACAAAGCACCTGTTTTCTAAATCAAATGAGGACAGTACATGTAAAGAAAGCAGGTACTTCTTACCTGGGGGAGCTCAATGTTTTATTCTGCCTGTCATCCCCAGTCAATAAAATACCATTTCTAACAGTAAAAAAATTTGGAAAATGAAGTTCCTTTCACACTGCAATGTGATGGCATCCTGTCTCAATGGAAGCAATAAAATTCTATTGTCATCATCCCTCCTGAACATAGATGCAAAAATCCTTGTGACAAAATAATTGAATCCATATGTAAAACAAATAATACATCAACACCAAGTGGAGTTTATGCTGGCTGGGGGTGCACAGCTGGTTTGGACATTTGAAAAAACAATCAACAAAATTCACCATATTGGTACATTAAATAAGAAAAGCTTCATGATCATACCAGTTGATGCATTTGACAGAATGAACATCCATTCATGATAAAACCAGCAGCAACTTAGGAATAGAAGGGAACTCCTTAACCTGATAAACAGCATGTACCAAAGACATCTAGCTAACACAGTTAGGGATAAAGATATGCACTAAGCAATGTCCATGCTGATTGCTGTACTAACCTCTCTCTGTCCCCAGTTCACCTTTTAGTATTTTCCCAGGCCTCCAATGCCCTTATGCTGTCCTGAACTCCCCATCCACACAGCCTGACAGCCTGTATAGTGTCCCCCTCTTCAAAACCAGTTAGCCTGTGTCTCTCCCTCTTAAACATTCAGAGAATGTGAAGAATAGCATTTGGGGTCCCCAAGGAGAACCAAAAGCCCCCACCTGGATGGTGCATCAGGCATTGGTTACTCTTGCCATTAACTCATGCTTTTTGAGATTCAATTCAATGCACAACACAGAATTTGTCTTCATGAAGCTTAAAATCGAGTAATAAACGCAAGACAGGCACCTTAAGTAATAAGGAGGTATCACTGAGAGAACCGAACCAAGGTGAAGAGAAATCCTAAAGCAGCAGCTCCTTGGAGGAGGGTGCACTTGAACTGAACCTGGGAGAACGGAAAAAGCAGTAGAATTTCACAGAGCAGGCACCCCAAGGAGAGGCCGGGCCTGGAACAGACAGTGGCTGGGGTGGGGGGCTCCAGGAACACCAGGAGGGCTTGCAGTGAAGCAGTTATCCCCTTCTGCCCAGCCCATCCTGTGCAAAATGGGACAACCCCAGATCTGCCCAGAGGCTGCTGGGAGGATTCAGTGAATTGAAGGCATTTGGGACCGTGCCCAGAGCCAAGTGCGACTCTGCAGCAGCAAACCAGTGTTCTGTGGGTCATGGTGAGGAGGAGAGGACTGACAGAGGCAGGCTGGAAAGGGGTTGATGTCAGATCATGTGACAAAGGCAACCATTTGAGGGAGAACTGGTAGCTCAAAGGCTCAGAGGACCACGGCCTATTTGCTTTAGCTTGTTCTGGTCGAAAATAGAATAATCCAGAACCTCTACTCAGATATCCACCTTTTGACAGAATACCAATAATAGATAATAAACACATATACTTGTGAAGAAAATCTTAAACCCAAATTGAGAGAGATTCTAAAAAATAAGCAGTCCTCTTGAAAGGTCTCAAGATCATGAAGACAATGGAAAATGAAGGAGCTGTCACAGGTTAGAGGGTTAAGGACACAGACAACCCAGTGCAACATGGGGTCAGGTTGAATGCCAGAACAGAAAGAGGACACTAGAAGAAAAACTGGTAAAATTCTGCCCTAGAAGTTGGTAGTGGGGCAACAGTGTTGCTATAAGGCTCATTCCTGGGGTCTTTCCACTGTACCATGGTCATGCACAATGGTACATTAAGGGAAGCTGAGAGGAAAGATATATGGAGATCATAATTTTTTCAACTCTCTATAAGTCTAAAATCAGCTCACAATCAAAAGTAAAAAGTAAGTTATAGAAAATTCACTAAATTTCAATACGACTATCATGAAATATTATAGTATTAAAAATATTTAAATAAAATAAAATACTTGGGAATCAACCTAACAAGAGAGGTGAAAGATTTATATAATGAAAATTACAGAATCCTAAAGAAAGACATAGAAGAAGACCTTAGAAGATGGAGAAATATACCCTGCTCATGGATAGGCAGAACTAACATCATCAAAATGGCGATATTACCAAAAGTTCTCTATAAGTTCAATGCAATACCAATCAAAATCCCAACAGTAT